ATCCTCCTGCCTCAGCCTCCCAACTGCTGGGATTACAGGCATGTGCCACCATGCCCGGCCAAAGAACTAAATGTTAAAGCAGAAACAACCTTCTGGAAGGAAAACAGGTAAACCTCTTGAGGTCATAAGTGTAGCCAAAGACTTTCTGAGGGAACCTGACCTTCTCCGACTTTTGGCTAAGACCAAGCGAGGAGAACCCTGGAAATAGAAAAATAGCAGCCAATGTGCAAAAATCAACAAACAGAATACCAAATTAAAAAGCTTCTGCACAGAAAAGCAAACACCAAACCAGGGATTTAGCTCAGTGGTTCTGGCACCTGCCTCACAAGCCTCACAAGCTCAAGGGCCCAAATTTGATCCCCTGTTCCAAAAATTAAAAATAAATATAATAATAATAATAATAATAATAATAATAATAATAATAATAATAATAATAATAAAAGAAACAACCAACAGACTGAAAAGACAACCTACAGAATGAGGAAAAAATTTTTCCAGCTATTTTTCAGACCGAGAATACATGTAAAGAACTAAAAAAAATTCAACACTCCAAATTTAAAGACTGAGTAAAAATGGGCAAGAGAGGGGCCAGGGATTTAGCTCAGTGGTACCAACCCAGCCTTGCCAAGTGCAAGGTCCTGAGTTGCATCCCCAGTACCAATAAAGAAAGAAAAAGAAGGAAAGAAGCAAAGAAGGAAGGAAGGAAGGAAGGAAGGAAGGAAGGAAGGAAGGAAGGAAGGAAGGAAGGAAAGAAAGAAAGAAAGAAAGAAAGAAAGAAAGAAAGAAAGAAAAAGAAGGAAAGAAAGAGGGAGGGAGGAAGGAAGGAAAAGAAAGAAAGGGCAAGAGATCCATCACCTGCTTGTCAAGCACAAGGTCCTAAGTTCGATCCCAGGTACCAAAAAAGGGTATGGGGGGGCAAGAGAAACAGATACCTTACAGAAGTACAAATGAATACATGAAACCAGAAATTCCATTTGACCCAGCTATTCGCCTTCTAGGTATCTTCCAAAAGAGTTAAAAACATCATTATATAGGACTGGGGATTTAACTCAATGGTTCCACTTCCTGCCTCGCAAGTACACACTGTCTTGAGTGCAATCCCTCGTATATCCCCCTGAAAAAATTACACTGATACAAACACACACCCATATTTATAGCAGCACAACTTATAATATCTAAATCTTAGAAGCAGCCCACATATCTACCAAAGTATGAATGGATCTAGAAAATGTAGTGTTAAAACTGGGTAGGGCCGGGGATTTAGCTCAGTGGTTCCGGCACCTGCCTTGCAAGCAAAAGGACCCGAGTTCGATCCCCGGAACCAAAAAAAAAAAAAAGACTGGGTATTTAGCTCAGTGGTGCTGTCGCCAGGCTCACAAGCGCAAGGTCATGAGTTTGATCCCTTGTGCCATTAAAAAAAAAAAAAAAGTTGTGTAGCTGCTTTAGAAGAGCGGCAGTTCATAAAATTAACCTTACCATATGACCCAGCAATCCCACTTGTAGGTATATATACCACCAAGAATGAAAATATACATCTGTACAAAAACCAGTACCCCAGTGTTCACAGGAGCATGACTGTAACCACAGCCAAAAGAGACAACCCAAATGTCTGCCAACTAAGGAAAGAATAAATAAAATGTGTATAATTTACACAATGAAGTATTACTTAGACACAAAAAGAAATCAAGTCTTTGGCCAGGCGTGGTGGCACACACGCCTGTAATCCCAGCACTCGGGAGGCTGAGGCAGGAGGATCGCTGTGAGTTCGAGACCAACCTGGGCTACACAGTGAGTTGCAGGTCAGTCTCAAAAACATAGTGAG